TCACTCTCTCAGGGCTGCATACCTGCTGTGGCAACGTTGTGGCTGTTGTGCCGGTTTTGTGTGTCCGAAAGGTCAGATCTTGCCAGAGATGAGAGGAAAAAAAATGATCTGGATGCGATAGGTGTCGTTGCTCGTTGGATCTATCTCCGTTCGACGGAGAGCCGTTCACAACGCCACAAACAGACGGGTTTGAAACCCCGAAAGCATGTGCAGTGTGATGGTCGGTTGCATTTGCAGGTGTTCGTTGGTGTGGGCATGTATTTTGACATCATGTACACACACGCACGCAGGAAAAAAAAAAAATCATGATTTATTTGATTTGATGATGAACGACAGCAGCAGCAAAATAACAAAATAACATGACAGATGGATGGGGACGACTCTCTCACACACACAATTTCACAGCGGTATCTACATCGATCTTCAGGCACGCGGTCTCTCGAGCCTCACTGAGGCTCTTGACCATCAACCCGACGTTTGTTGCGAACCACTCAGCACAGAGACATCATTGTGATGGCAAACAGAAGAAGATCCGCGAGCAAGATTCTTCGATACTCCAAAAAAAGGACTCCAAATACAAATAGCTGCGTATCGTAGTAGGTATAATAGCTGCAGCGGTGTGGCGAGACCAAACCTGCATGCGAATCCACAACCAACCCCGTCTACCCGCGAAATGAAATGGACAACAAATTACGGCTGGCTGGCAGCACATTGTGAAGGCAATACCTCAGCAGCAATCACCTGAAAAAATAGCTTTGCACCCGGATCGCCGGATTCTCAGGAACAGCACAGCCTCCTATCTATCTCCTTCCAAGCTTTTCCTTCTGCTTTTTTTTGGGTGTGACTCGCTGCCGCGGCCTTCCGAGTTTTGGAGAGTAGAGGCAGATCATGAGATGAGCGTAGCCTCTGTGTGTTTACTCGCTTTCGGGGGTCTCCGTGGTCTTTTTTTTTTGCCCTGATATTTGCAGGAATAATAATACAGACGGAGTGCGTACCAATGACCACGTCTGTCTGTCTGTCTCTCTTTGTTTGCCTGTATGTTGGCGTAGTATAATGAAGTATGAAGTAAGACTATTATTTTGCATGCTGTTAGGGTCGACTACGGAACAACGGGGAATGCACGAAGCAGTAGGTGTATAGTGCTTCCGCTACGCGAGGATCCCTCTCTCCATCAATTTATCCTGAACTCTTGGATGGAGATGGATTCGGTGTGTTTTATTTAAATTTATTTAAATTTAGTCAGATGATGAGTATTCAACAACAACGCGAGGGAGGAGGAAGTAGGGGAGGTGGTGGTTTATTATGTATGTTGTTGGTGTGTGGTATACTTATTATTTACATACAGGAGGAGTGCGAGTATGATGTATGTATGCAAACGAGCCGGAGATAGATAGATGATGAGGTGGGAATTAATGGTGCTACTTCTTCTCAAGCAAGCAGCATATATATTTATTTTGTACCACCCGTAATATTTGGACCAGATTCGCAGGGTATCCGTCCATTGAATCGGTACACCTTGCTTCGCATATATATGGCGTCTTGCCCTATTTCTTTCATCCTGAGACGACGACACGGCAACACTATGCATACAACAAACAAACAAAAAAACACAACTAAAATTGACAATCAATCAAAGATCAACAACAACAAACAAACATCACACACATCAAACAAGAGAGAAGGAGAGGGCGCACACGAAACAAGGGAGGAACAATGAAGAAGAACAAGATTGGCCTGATGGCATCTTTTCATTGGTCAGCAAATTATTAGCGCCGCCGTCGATGAAAGAAAAACACGATGAGTATTATTATTATTGTAGTAGTGTAGAAGGTACACGTCTCACCACGAAAAATGGGGGGACTGTCTGTCGCCTTACCACATAAAATAATAATTAGGGCGATAACAACAACAAACAACACAGACACACGACAGCCACTTTAATTTTCGTCTTGACTTTCTTTTTTTTGTGTTACGCCGAGGGTCGGGTCCTGACGACGACGCCACAACCTCCCACCAAAGGTTGCACACAACAGGGTAAATAGCAGCAGCAGTAATTAACTAAACTGGGCCACCGGGGAGTTGTTGTTGTTGTTTGTTGTTTTTCTTCACATTAAACTCGTGTCAGTTGCTAATCCCAAAATCTAGCAAAGACTCGGCCCGTGGTCACAAAAATGCTAAAGCCATCAGAAGGGAGTATGCATGATAAAAACAGATCCATCCGGCGTTTTCAAGTGATTCCGTCCTCCGTGGAATTGCCCATTTTCGGCAAATGGAATTAATTCCGCCCGGCACATTTTCGGCAAATGGAATTCCGCCCGGCAATGCCGGCAACATCGGTGGTCCCGAAACCCGAAACACTGGGGGCGGCAGGAGATAATTTGATGTGCATTGAGCCGCTGCTCTTGCTGAGAATTTCACTTCTCTTCATGAAGTAAATTTGATCAAAGGTTTCCCATTGTTTCCAGAGTGAGAGAGAGACAGAGCTGACGGGAGCCAATTTTCGCTGCAGCGGTAGCAGACAACGCCTTCTAGATATGGCAGACATACAAAAATAAATGCCGACGGACATCAACGGTGGTGCCCTCTAGCAAAAATTCAACGCGCATATGCATGTACACGAACAACTCAATAATTACTGCAGCCGATGCACCCTCCACAACATGAAACGGAAAAACAACACGGCAACAGCCTGCAGCTAATCATCTATCTGCCGCCGGACGTTGACCCACGCAACCCGCGAAAAGCAGGGGCTTACAAGCTTTTATTTTCTTTCGACAGAAGATTGGAGTCGTCAGCAGGACTTCTCAGAAGCAACCACCACCACCACCATCACAACAACAAACACTTTGCCAACCAAAAACACGACAAATAAATGCCAATAACAACGAACCAACAGACAACCAGACCAACAACAACAGCAACAACAAACAACCAGTCCATCAACAAGAACAACAACGTTGGTGTGTAACGGGATTCCTGACATCGCCATACAAGTTATAGGCAACAACAAGTCGTGACAAGAGCACGCGCGAGCCAGGCAGGCTAGCCAAAAAACGTAAGAAGAGTAACATCCATGCACACATGAAGAAAAGCAAAAAATGTGTCGAGAGGAACGAGAACGGAGTGACACGCAACACCGGGGGCTGAAACAAAACAAGAGCAACCTCTCCAGCTACGCCGTTATAAATCTTCTCCTGTACAAGCAAGCAAGTAGATCCAACAAGGACACACGAGTTCGTGGGCATGAACGACTGTCTATGTGACTCGACCTCCTCTCCACTCCTAGAGGAAAACGCAGCCCACAACGAAACATACATGGGGATATTCAGACGCACTGACTTGTCCGAAGCACCCTAGTAGATATCCGAACGTTACAACTACTTAAACGCTAACTACTTCATCAAATTGGATCATGGACGTCCAGACACTCTTCCAGAGAAACCTTCGTCATCACCCGAAAAAACGCTGTGCAGCTCCTTCGTATTACTGACCAAAATGGAGGGAGAGTATCCCAAGAAATGCAATGCAGTTTCCAGATAAAAAAAAGGGGGGGGGGGGAGGGGGGGTAAATACGCAACGACTTACGTCTCGAACAAGCTCGTTTCACAGCAATACCGTCAGGCAGTCGCCAAAAAACGACACGACACCACAATTTACGGTGGCTGAATGCACAACCGACGGAATACGTCCTCCCTCTTGTGCGTTCTTACCCTCCCCTCTAGCTGGGCACGCC